GCAACCCCTATGGCTGCAAGGATGTTATCGAGTCAACGCTGCCTGGCTGCTGCGTTGCCGGTGGAGACGTCGCCAACAATGATAAATTATTCACAGACAATGAGCCAGTGGTGAATGTGGAGTGCAGGCAGAGTGTTCCTCTTGACGAGCCATCAACGGGCACGTTCGAGATGGGCGTCTCATACCTTGACCACCTAGACAAGTATGCAGAGGCAAATAGTGAAAAGCCACCTGAGAAAAGTTTGTCTTCAGAGGTGGAGACCTTCCTCGCGGTGAACCTCTCGGGTGCGTTTTTACCAGCATTGGCCAGTGTTACCAGTGTTTACCAGCATTACTCACTGTTTCTAAGCATGCTGTTTTTGGTGCCTAGTTGATAGCAAGCCACAATGCTTACTGCAAGTTGAAATGTGATGCCTGCAGGTTGCAAGCTCCAGGAGTTTTTGCGTTTCCAGGCGAGGCCTACACCGTCTCTAAAATTGGAAGTCACCTATAGGCCGGGCCATCGCCTAATAGGTAGGACCGCGGAATATGTGGAGTATAGGTGATTTCGCGTATATGATCGTATACATCACACCTATAGGCGATCTGTTGTATACAGCATGGTCTATAGGCCTGTAGGCTATAGGTTACCATGTGTACGCAAGCAAAGCTGTGAGAGCCTATAATCGTTGTATAAAGGTATGCCTTTATGTAGGCCGCTCGTATATACAGTGTTCGGGCCAAAGCTGCACTAGCTGCTGCGTGCGAAACACATTTGACCTTCCATAAAATGCTGCAAACTATGAGGTCTGTGCATATGAAACGTATTGTATTCACCCTTCATGCCGAGGCACATGCATCGATGGAGCCCATGCATTGCCGTCAGGTACCCCTCGTCCCTAAGATCTACTGCTGTAACAACCACGCACACATACTGCTAGTAGTCATAAGAGCTGTAATTCCTGTGACCTCTGGTGTCCTGTTCGCGCCAGTTGCACCGCAAACGCTTCCACATGAACTGTTGAACTGTTTAAAATTTTCGTATTCTTAAGTATCGCGCGTGTGTATGCTTTGAAAATACAGGAGATGGAAAAGGTACGCTTACAGCGCTAGCCGTCAGCGATTTCTGGCTTACCAGGGTCTCAAGATCTAGGACCACTTTTCCGAAAGCACTGAAAGGAGTTTTGAATCGTTATGTAATCTTTTCGGGGACTTTCCATGGACCTGCCGGCGAAGTAAGGGAATGATATGCGCACGCCGCCGAATGACTACTTATCAGTAAACAGTTAACCTGCAGGTATCACGTTGAACTTCTTAATGCAATGCTAACATAAACCAAACAGGACAAGCCTACAACATTCGTTCCAAAGGGTGGCATGTATGTTAGAAGCGCCCTGCATTCGGCTAAGGTACAGCTTGTTAGCTATTTGGACGGAACAGTCTTTTTTGCGTTCTTTTCCGAGTACCTCTTACACTGCTTGTCATGCGCATCCTTTGCATGTACTACGGCTAAGGGATCTCTTCCGGATGATGAAGAATGTGCTTTATGCTGGACCAATTACACATCACGATCAGCACGATTAAGCGGCTCCAGGAGCTGGTACCAGCTGGTGCCGGCCGGTGCTGAGGGCCCGATCCGCCGCCGGGAGGACGACTTCCTGAGGCAAACACGACGGACATCCCGAACGGTGCTTACATCCGTGTTATGGAAAATTGCTCTTTCGTGTCTGGACCGGACGGATGGACATGAGGCAACGTGATGAGTCTTCCGATACGGCGGTCACAGCAGGTGGTATCCACGTCGACTTGTAGGCAAACCAAATACAACCAGGGGATGATAAGACAGTTTTGCATTACATGTTTCTTGGTCGTAAGCAGCAGCAAACTTAAATCGCGTTGGGCCATTTGCCCAAGCTGCCGCAAGGACGACAAGTCAGGCTAATGCAGCTGGTGTCCATGAAGGGTTCATTACGTGCTGAATATGAAAGATTGCTACAAAGACTCTGGCCCTGACGAACGTAAAATGTGATGTTCGTAAGGAAGAAAACTGACGCATATCCAAGGCATGGAGCTGTTTGTAGGAAAACCGTAAATGAAGGTTTAAGGAACTGAATGATGAACTCTGCCGGTGTGGTCGGTTCTGGATCTCTTATGTTGCTCGTCACGCTCGTACGGAAAATGTACATTTCTTGCAGGAGGGAGTCTGTGTGTCAAGTCGTGGTCAAACCTTTTTCAAAGGGGATGAGCACACACACAGCTTGCATTCCATGTTCACTAACGTCAGCCCACAGTAAGCTACTGGGCTAGACTTGGAGGGTCCGACCGGGGCAACTCGTTGCTGTGGACTTGTAGGCAAGTCAAGTAGGGCTATGGAATGCTAGGACAATGTTATTGTATTTGTGTTATAGGCTTGGGTAGGAATTCTTAAGCAATACGTTGAGGGGCTTTTCCGCCGGCGGGAGGACGACAATCCCATGCAAACAGGACGGATGTTCCGAATGTTGCTTACATTCATGTTGTCGAAGCTCGCGACGACGGCTCTGGACAGGACGGATGTCAAGTGTGCGTTGGTGGACGTGATGGCAACGTAGTGAAGGACATGGACGCGCATGCACAGGCCATGGAATGGTATGTCTAAATCATGGACGGCGACGTTCAACTCTCAGAATGGTGATTTCTGCCTTTGGGTTCAATTCTGAACCTCGAATGCTGCTGGCTCTGCCCGTACCGGAAAAGTGCTTTCCGGTACGGCGGTGTCAGGAGGTGGTATCTACGTCGTCTTAGGGGCAACCCTAAGACCAAGGGGATGAACGAATAGAGATATACTTTCTGTTTCTTGGCTGCAGCAAGTGTTGTCCTGGGCGCAACGTTGATGGCCTGATGCCGACGCGACCTCCTTTACGACAATGCTAGGCAAACGCAGCGGATGTTCATGAATTACTTAAGCGTTCATATTACTCGTCACAGCTTCAACGGCACTGTACTGGGCGGATGTAAGACGTGCGTTGGTGGACGCGATGGCCTTACGAAGGGGGAGAAAGACGCTTAGGAGATGCTTGGATTGTTATATGTACAAATCACGGACGGGGACGTTTAACTCTATGAATGCTGAATTTTAGCTACTAGTCGGGTTTTTTGAACTTCGCTGTTGTTGGTTCCGCCCGTACAGGAAAAGTGTCTTCTGATACGGCGGTCACAGCAGGTAGTATCCACGTCGACTTGTATGCAAACCAAATACAACGAAACCAGGGGATGATATGACAGTTTTGGAATGCTTGTTTCTTGGCCGCAAGCAGCAGCATACTTAAATCGCGTTGGGCCATTTGCCCAGGCTGCCGCAAGGACGACAAGCCAGGCTAATGCAGCTGGTGTCCATGAAAGGGATCATTACGTGCTGAATATGAAAGATTGCTACGAAAACTCTGACCCTGACGGATGTGCATTGTAAGGAAGGAAACGGATGAAGAGTTAGCTCCGCGGCGCATGGAACGCTAAGTAAGGATGATGGACTGTAAGCGTTAATATTCGGA